ACACCAACGTGGGAGAAGGAAGAAGGAAACGTGAGGGGTTCAGAGAAGAACAAAAGGGCAATCCGCTCCTTTCAATCGTTTGGAGGATCGTCGTCCATCCGGCGTCCAAACGTGGTCGGGACACAGACTAGAAGATCGCTCAGATCGAATCAAAGCCTTCAAGAAAAGTACATCTCTGTTCGTCCTTTAGAAGCATGCTTAGGTTTATTCGAAATCATCTATGTACATGTTTGGTATCTGATATCGATCCGTGGGTAGGACCGCCTCGTCGGCGTGTTCCAGCACTTGCCTCCATTAAAACCATACAAAGCCTTCGCCACCGGCTTCAAATCCAAGTTCAAATGTTTATTGATCTGCATGAAGCAATCATAGAACATCACATCAACCGAACTTTCCGTATCGATGAACACCTTCTTCACATCAAAACCTCCAACCTACGCCGTGATCACCAACGCATCATTATGGGGTAATGAAATCCCCTCAGCATCCTCTGCTCGAAAACTGATCACTGGCATTTGACCAGTTATCCCGACCTCCTCCCACTTACGCTTAATAGCTCGCACATGCTCCTTTCTCGCGTTATTTGAATCACCATCCGTTGGCCCTCCTAAAATCATGTAAACCGTGCCCCTCTTCACAGGCATCTATCATCTCTACTCCCCTCGACCGTCATCAACTCGTCTCCTCTTCTCTACATCACCCCATCGGTCACCTCTCTCTCCTCGAGCATCATCTTCTCACTCATCCTCCCTATCGATCCTCACCACTGAGTCCTCCCTGCACTTCCTTCTCTCTTTCCCTCTTGCTCGATCACGAATAACAAACTCCTTCAAGTGTGCTGCCCTTATGAGATGTTCAATCTCGTCCTTCAGGTGCCTACAATCCTCGCTGATGTGCCCATAATCTCTATGGAAACTACAATATTTGTTCGACCTCGGTTGGGTGGGCTCCCCCAACCTCATCTTTTGCCAAGTAATATCTTTATGCTCCAGCTTCTCTTTGATGGCTACCAATACCTCTTCCATTTTTGACCTGATTGGAGTAAAATTGTTATATCTTTGGCTATGTGCCAGGATTGGTCGTCTCTGCTGTTCGCCTATATTTTTAAAGCTCGACCGCAAGTGTACGGCTTCGCTCGTAGTATGT